GCCCCCCCCCCCCGGCCCCACAGCAGCCCCCATATGTCCCCTCCACACATGCACAGAGGCCCTCAGCCTGGCCTGCTGCTCACCTGGTAATTATGCTGCTCACCTGATAATTATGCACTGGTTCTGTTTGGCATCGAGCATTTTGGCGAAGGCGAGATTTGCAATTGCAAAGAGATGCCTGGAGAGACGGAGGCAAGGGGGTGCTTCCAAACCTCCCAGAGGGCAGGTGGGGTGGCATCTCTGTCCAGCCAAGCCTGCTCCACCCCCCATCCTTGAGGAAATATCCCCCCCTGACCCCACCCCGGTGGTCTGAGCCACAGTAGCCTCCAGCCCAGCAGGGCTATGGCCAGGCTCGGGGAAATAGTGTGGGCTGAGCAGGTGGGCTGCCGACTGCCGTCAGCCCTGACCGCCGGCTGAGGGGCAGCCCGATGCTCACCAAGCTCAGACAGAGACCCGGGAGAGCCCAGTCCAGGATGTACTCACGGGGGGTTCTCTCCCAGGGCCCGCCCACTGTACTGGTGCACCTGCTCCAGCCCGTAGATTCCGAACATCCGGTAAGGGTTCACCGACACCAGGATGCTGCCGATGTAGGTCTGCTGTGCAGACAGCGGCCTCAGTGCCCGTGGTTCCTCGCAGCCCTGTGTCCCTCCCGGCCCCTGGAAGCCTGGAACCGTGTCCATGGGGACAAATGTCTGGCTGCCTGACCTCAGTGTTCGAACCTTGGGCCCTCTAAAAGCTTGATGGGTCCTCCGCCCTGGCAGTGGGATTCCCAGCTCTGCCCCAGGCTGAGGCTGGGAGAGGCCAAGCATAAAGCCCCACAGTCATCGTTCTGCAAGGAGGCTGTTAGCTGGCCTACCTCCTGGCACTGCGCCTCGCCGTAAGGCCCAACCTCCACTGCCTGGCGAGGCAGGGGCTGGGAGTGCAGGGCGCTCTGAGGTATCCAGCCTCCTGGGTGACCCCGATGCCTGCGCTGTGGTTCGGGGCTCCGTTCTGCCATTCTGCTCCCATCTTCCCCTCAGCAGCCCCTCCTGGGACCCGGGTCTGTGGACTCCAGGACTCTGCGAGCCTTGTCATTGGGCTTCCTGTCTCCAGGTCGCTGCCCCTGGCACCTACCAATCTAAGACTCTACGCTTAGGACCTTGGAGGTCAGGGCCCCAGGCTCTAGTCGGTTTTGCTCAAATAGCAGACACCTCAGAGGTGAAGCCAGCGGCCACTAGTCTGGGGCCCAGCAGGAGACATCTATGCTACCCACCAGGCCCCAGGAGACAAAGAGTCAGCTGCCGGCCAGACCCGAGCCCAGGGCAGAGCCACCCCACAACTCACGTAAATGAGGTTCCGTTCAAATCTGGTCTTGAGGTTGGACAGCACAGTGGTCTCCTGGAGGTCTCTGGGAAAGCAGGAAGAAGGGCAGTCAGGGCCCACTGTCCCCCAGTGCAGGGCCTTGGCCAGAAAGTCTGATCTCTGACACTAACCAACCATGAGGCCTTGGGAAGTTACTTAACCTCTGTGCCTCAGTTTCTTCATCTGTCCAATGGGTATGATTACTAGCACTGGCCCTACCTCACTCACTGGGTTGGCGATGCTCTTAGCAGATATGAGGACTGAGTCACCATAATTGGATAATGATATGGACCAGCACAGCCCTTCGCTTTGGGCACCTCCAATGTGCCAGCACACTCATAACCATAGCCATCCCCCCTACCCCACGCAAAACGTGGAGGGAGTGTTACTCGACACATAGCCATCCCCACTCCCGTCTTATAGATGAGAAACGGAGGCACAGAGCGGTGAAGTGATTCGCCCACAGTCCTGCAGCTGCTAAGTGGCGGGGCTGGGATTGAGCCCAGGCCCATCTGACGGCAGAGCTGTGCTGGCTTCTGGCTTTTGTGACACTGTATGGCCCTCACTTTGCAGATGAGAAAACAGGCTCTGAACACATTCCAGGAGATGAGAGGCACCCCTGGTAAGAGGGGGTGCTCCAGCTGGGAGTGTGGCGACCCCCCGAGACCCCCTCACCAACTGCCATCCAACCACTCACTCCAGCTGCGTCATGTCCTCCACACCGTCCTCCCGGTGCTGCTCCAGGAACCGCGTGGACGGCAGGTTGCGGATGGAGTGCATCTATGAGAGAGAGTCCTCTGGTCACCAGTGGGAGGGGCCCACGCGTGGCCCCCTGGCGTGGACACAACTGGGACCTGCTCCTGTTGTGAAGGAGGAGCCCTAAGTACAGCCAGCTGGGTCCTGGGGCCTCCTTGTCCTGGAATGCCAGGGGCTGTGGAGCCCGTCAGGGACACACGGCTGCCCTCTGCCCGTGTGGTCCTGTGTGCCCCCAAGTCCTGCCCGTGGGCACTGCTCCCACTGCCTTGCCGGGAGCTCTCCCAGTGCGGACACCCTTTCAGGTTGGACCCCAAGTGACAACTTGAACATCTGTATCTGGGTGCATGGGGCCTCCAGGAAGATCAAGACTCCACGGGCACCAGTCTGCAGAGACTGGGGACCACTGCTGCCCCTGCACGTGCCCAGTGCCCAGGCTGGGCAAACATGAAGACCCACACGCACAGACCTACACGCAACGGCATTTACAGGTCACACAACTCCCATGAACACCTGGGTCTTGCAAGATGCCTACTGACATGTGTGAAGGCCTGTGTTGCCTCGCTGAGGCACATGCTCTCAATGTCCACATTCTCATGTGCATGGACACCTGGGCTGTCCCCACACCTGGGGTCTTGAGACAAAAGTCCCGATGCCATCTTTGGGCTGAAGGTCTCCACTGTGCCTGACTATGTGCATACGCAGGACCCCACGGATGCCACAGCTGCTTAGACCTTGGTGCATGCGCGCGCGCACACACACACACGCGCGCGCGCACGCACACACACACACACACATGCACACACGCGCGCACGCACACACACACACATATACGCACACGCGTTCGCGCACACACACATGCTTCCCTTGTTTGGCTGTGGTACACCCAGGCACACATGCATGCACGTGACCCACGTGACTGAGAGCACACGTGTGCGCCTTGCCTTTCCAGCCTCTCAGGCCCGGCCCACACCCCTCCCTGACGGCGAGGAAAGGGGACACCAGAAAGGGGACGCTCTGTGCTAAGGAGGCCACAGGGAGTATCACCCTGGGCCCTGGCCTCCCGCCCACCAGCCTGCCCATGTGTGCCAGTGGCCGCAAACCCTGAATAATTCAGCCACTCACGTATTCGAGGGTGAGGAGGGCCCAGGCATCCTTGCCCCTCACCCCAGGGCGCCCTGTGGCCCGCTCCCGCAACGCTGTGGCCCACACGGCTCTGGGCACCCG